GCCGGGTGGCACTGAGGACCGCGCCGCCCCGGGGACCGCGCGCCGCCCCGCCCCTGCCCGCCTTTTAATCAGCACTAAGTGGCTCCCCGAGTTAGCCAGGGGCGGAACAAAGGCCTGACAAAGGCGAGGAGAGGAGAGAACCGGCCTGGCTGCCCACCAAGGTCTCAGATGGGCTCTGCGTCCTTTTCTTCTCCTGTTTTTAAATTATCTTAAAGAAATTTGCCTAATTCATACATAAAAACATAAAGCCTATCCATATTAATGGGTGCCTGTGACATTTCCATGTGTACACTTCGTGTCACGTTCAAATCAAGTTAAATATACATCTGCGTAAACGTTTATCATGTCTTTATGATGAAAACGTTCAGAATGCCATCTCCTAGCTTTCTAAAGCATACAGCACATAATTATTTCTGGTCACTCCATGGTACAGTGGCTCATCAGCGCGCTGCCTCTTTGGGAGTGAAATCTGGAGAGCCAGGCACATGACCTGGCAGGGCGTGGGTGCCCAGGCTTTTCCACACATGCACGTAACCCAGTACTCAGTCTGAACAGCCTGCAGCCCTAAGCAGCAAGAGGGGGCCTGGCTGAATGCAGCTATTTTCTAGCAGCATGACACAACGTCTGGCTTGAATTTGCAAACAATTTTCTTTTTGACTTTTATGTTCAATCTTAAAGTAGAAACTGATGATTTTAGTAGTTTTGGGCCAGGTACTGTGCAAGTGTATGTGAATTATTTCTCACAGCAAAGCCATGAAATAGCATTTCCACGAGCTCCATTTAAAATATATTTATATTAAATTGATATAAAGTAGATATTTAGGGGGTACGGTGTGGCATTTCATATAGGGATACAATGCTAGTGATCACATCAGTCACCGTATCTATCACTTAACACAGTTGTCTTTTCTTTTTGTGGTGCTGGGGACTGAACCCAGAGAGCCCTGTGCATGCAAGGCAAGAGCTCTATCACTGAGCTACATGCCCAGCCCATCTTTTTGTTGGGAACAATCAAGTCTTCTGTGCTAGCTATTTTGAAATATTTAATTATTGGTGTCCTACTCTAATTATCCTACTGTAACAAGCTTGATTTATAAACGAAGAGCCAGAGGCACAGGTTACCTCCGCTTCATCCACCAAACCCACAAACACCTGGCTGAATATGCATGGTGCTATGTACTTAAAAAGGGCCACGAAGAGCTCAGCTAGGAAAAGTCCTCATGAAAAATGTGTGTTTTGGCAGTTATTGGCAGGCAGGAAGAAGATATGTCACTAGCTACAGATTTATGAGGTGTTGTGAGTAAAGTCTCAGCACTGGGAATTAAAGACTAGAAAGAAATGAAATGCTGAGATTTCCTGCTTCAGACAGGTTTATCCCAAAACAAATCAAATTCAGTTCTTAGGAGCAGAGATGCAGCAACTTTCTGTTAGTCACTCTATGCATGCAGTAGGAAAGGAACTCTCTGTACCAAGGAGGGTGTGCTTCTTAAAGCAGCTGTGAGCTGTGTTAAGTGACCACCACCCTTTTGGCCAGTTGTGTTATGAAAGTCAATATATGAACATCTGGGCTCAGTGCTAGCTCATGGTTCCTCTTGCATGAGCCAAGATGGACGGAATTCTTTCGGGGGACTTACTGCAGCCCCTTCCCTGACGTAGAGGAGACAGCTGACTTCCACTGCCTATCGATGGACAGAGCCCAAGTATCTGCATTTTTATCTTCTCAAAAATCAGGAGAACAGCAGAGAATATGGTCCCATATTGCACTCTTATCAGAAATTATTTTTTCTCCATAGATTATAAATTCTATAAAGGCAGAGATTCTGTAAACATTTAGGAAAATAAGATTAAACTCTAGGAGAAAAAGTGTGATAACATCTAAGGGGCTTTGAAGGAAGTAGGTTATGATGAAATATATCCCGAGTTTTCTCCTAGGTAAAAGAAAGCTGTTCACGTATAGAGCGTAACATGCCACGCAAATGTCGAGTGCATCAGAGGACAGCTGAAGAAGCAGACGAGCTAAGAGGAAGCACGTGGAGCCTCACCGCGGTATAGACCTTCAGCATCCCCCAAAGGCTTATGTCCAAGCACAGTCCCTGCAGTGGCACTATGGGGAAGTCCTGAAACATTCCAGAGGTGAGCGCCAAGTGGGAGATTTCTAGGTCATTGGTGTGCACTTGAAAGGGATTGTGGGGCCCCAGGCATAAGGTCAGCGTTCTGTCCTGCCGTGTGCTCCCACCGTCATGTGCTACCTCGTCACAGACCCAAAAGTAACGAGACCAGTCAATCGTGGAGTACTAAACCTGGGGGCTCCTTGGGACACACAGGCCTGGCTGGCTCTCCTGCTGATGCTGTCACTGTAAACAAAGCAAGAGTTTTGCTTCCCGCTCCTTCCTCTGAGGACGAAACCGTGGGGTTCGGAAGCGGAGCTCATTCTCCAGTTGTGATGACATCAGTGGACCAGCTCCAGTCGTTTCATCTCCTATGTTGCCTTTTACGGCTGCCAAAAAGGGTCTGGTCCATTTAGAGGGAAGAGCATATTCAGAAGGTAGAGCACTCAGGAGATATCCTAGTTACTTTGGGGAAGTAAATGTAGAGTTTTATTGCAGAGCATACACCAAAACAGATTTCAGGCGGGTTGAAGAGTTAACTGTAATAATAGTAGCCATACAACCAAATAGTGGAGAAAAATACTGGCAAGTACTTATCTCATCTTTGAATAGGACCATCTTTAAAAACCCAGAAGTAGTAGGAGAAATCACAGTGGGAAATGCAGTAGATATGGTTAAACATCTTAAACTTTAGTATAGTAAACACACAATTTAAAAATTAACAGTAAATTACATGAGAAAAACATTTGTAGTATATATAAAATTGGGAGCTAATTTCATTAATTTATAAACAGTAAAAAATACAATAGGAAAAATGCAAATACAATGAAAGAAGATCACAAAAAGGCATACAAGCAGAACATTTGTAGAATTAAAAGTATTCACTAGTAACCAATTAAATTCAGTAGAAGCAATTAGATGTTTTTTAGTACTAGAAGTGACTCGGATAGGTAATGTTATGTTATGGTGGCAAGGATGTGCTGTAATCAACCTTATACTCCCTCATCTTGCCCATTTTCCCTTTCTAAAGGAAAAGCTGGCAGAAAATGCCAGCCACCCTAAGAATTGCACCCCCTTTGATTCAGTAAGTTCTACTTCCAGGTGTTTATTCTAAAGAAACAGAGGGAAATTTCTTTAAAGAGCACTTCACTGAGCACTTACCACATGCAGTACTAGGAAATCTTTTAAAACTTTACATGGATCACCTCTTTTAATCTTTACATTGGGCTTAATTAGAAGTTTGCCACATTACCCCCAGTAGGGATAGAGCCACAGCTGAACACAAGCTTTTGGCTTCTAAATCTTTTACTACTAATTTCAATTTATGTAGTTAAATAAGTAGAGTACATTAATAGAGAAGACTGCTGTGAAGAATACTAATTATCGTGCTTTAAAATAGAGTCTTTATCTTAATTTTTTTTTTTTTTGTCCTGGAAATCAGACCCATGGCCTCATACATGGTAAGCAACTGCTCTACCACTGAGCTACACCCCCAGCCCAATAACCACAGTTCTTAACCTAGAATCTATGGATGAACCTGAGAATCGAAAAAATGATGCATCAAATTCTCTATATAGGTGCTTTTCTGTTGTTGTTGTTTTCTGGGAAGTGGATCCATGACTTTTCTCTGATTCCTGAGAAGGTCCAAGATGCATTTGGAATACTTAATAAGAGGAAAACTCCCCCCAGTAGGGATAGAGTGTTTCTTTAGAATAAACATCTGTGATGTAATATAATCTTAAATGATAAGTCAAAAAGCTATAACCCCCCAACACATACTTTTACATTCTAGTAAAAATGTTACATATATATAAATGTTGAAGGAATTCTCCCAACTTATTAAGTCTGAGTGGTAGTAATTAAAGTGACTGTTATCTTCTTTGTATTTCACTCTTCTTTTTTTTTGAGACAGTGTCTCACTATGCAGTTCAGGTTGGCCTTGAACTCACAGCAATCTTGCCTCAGGCTGTTGGGTGCTGGGATTACAGGCATGTACCACCACACCCAGCTATATTTCACTCTTTTTAAAATATCTGCTACCAACATATAATCATATGCAACAAATTTTGAATATAAAAGCTGAAAAATACATTCTACCAATATCAAAGGTGAATTGCTATAGTAATCCATAGGTTGATAGAGAAAAAACTATGCAAAAGACATACAATTTATATTAATAAAATATTTTGTATTATAAAATAAGAAAGGTCTGCCTCACCAGCAGTTAAATAAACACCAATATGAAACTTTTAAAGATCTAACTGACCAGATTCTCAAAATAGCGATCCTTAGTACTGGAAACATTGGCAAAAGTCAAACACCTCTGAGGTGGTGGGTATTTGCTATAGCTTCTGGAGGAAGGCAATTTGATAATGCATATCAGCCTGTGGACATTTTTTAAAAATTAGGATGATTTTCAATGAAATGCCAGCAACTCTGACACAAACTGGTGTAAGACCCTAACCCAAAGAAAGGAATTTATTAATTTATGGGAATGAAGTCTCTGTGTGTGGCCTGACCCAGAGATTAAAATGCAGTGTGGTCCTCATTCGCATGTATACTTCCTCCAAAGGAGGCTCCTA